TAAATGGTGAAACGGAGATTCTTCTGGGTTCGCTTCTTCTTGCATAATGTTGAAATAACTTTGGATTTCCTACAATACGGTTGATCGGGTCTTTTGCAAGGTCTTCTCACGTTCTAAGGCCGCCTCTACTCGACTTCCTCAGGTTCTATCTATTCAACCGATGTCAGAAAATCATGGTCTGTCATTCGATCACGAGTGGCGTACTTCAAATCGCGGTTCTGGGTCCGCTGCGCTTCCTTCTTTACATCAATGATACTTCAACTCAAGTCAGAAATTCTCAACTTTTTATTTATTCTAGTGACCTCAAGTGTGTTTACTGATATTCTAAGGACACAGCAAACGTCTGTGTTGAAAAAATTAATGCCGATTTTCTGCACTTAAGCAGATGGAGTTAAACATGGCAGATGACGTTTCCACATTCAAGTGTAATTTCATGTCCTTTGGTCCTGACTAACTTCCAGGGCCTATAATTTTTCAGAATAACCCATTCTCATAATGCTTCGTCATAAAGGACCCAGGTTTATGTAATACAAATATACTTTCTATATCACCTCATGCAGATAGAATCTCTGCCAACACCGCGCAGATATGTTGATTCACATCAATAATTTTTTCTTCCGGAAATGAAGCTAAGACATCATCAAATGTTTGTTCTTCCAATCCCCGGATACCGCTGTCCTTTATTTGGTTTAATGAACGCCCGTGACCGTAATGATATCGAAAATGTTCAGAGGATTTTCAACCGGAAACTGTTCTGTTAAGTCACATCCGGTACTTCTTATGCTCAGAGATGTCAGCTGGCGAACATTAGGTTTTTGTGGGTTAGAAGACTCGAAGCTGACCTTTGCTTCTTTTTTTTAATAACTCTATCTCCAATCTTTCGCTCATTGACGCTCTCATTCCGAGAGATCGGCCTTATGTCACGCTCAAGTCTTCCATGGTGATTCCGAAGTCTCTTTGCATTACATCGTAGTGCTCCCTCTTTTTTTCTTCGAAACATGCCTTCTTTTGTAATAATCTTACGCCAGAAATTAGGTGATCGCTTATGTTATGAGAATTTAAGTCGGCATTACGCAAACACCTTACACCGGAAAGTATAAAGGCAATTTTAACGGTCACATTCCCGAACACCCAGTTTCATGACTTAAAAAAGGGGGAACTCCTGGGATGCAGCGGTCGATTTGTTAATTTCGTGGTAGACCAAGTGATAACCTTCATTTATATTTTCATAACCGACTGTTTTACGATGGTTACTAAGTCTTCTCCTACCCCTCTTCCTCCTTAGCGGCGATTTCGCGGTTATTGATAACGTCTCCTCTTGTCAACCTCAAGCGGTCTGTCGACGATCACAGCAGAAACCTCTGTATTTGCCGTCTACTAGTAGTTTGGTCGTATATCCCCACCCCACTCCTTGGCTGGGCTCGAATCGGACTGTGACCAAGCCCGTCTGGGTTCCTCTTGTCTGCCCACTTTGACGCCAATAGTCACATTCGGTGTATCAATTCAACATTGACCGGTATACGTATCCCTCTAGGCTGACATTTATTTCTGCCATGACGATGTCCGATTATAATTCGTCATATGCCGCCACATGTAGGACAGCCCTGTCCGCATTTCTGTGTTATTATGATCGACGGTTTTTTTCTCCTGTAAAATTAATCCAATCATTAATAAATTCGTAAGTGGAGTTTTTTCTTCACAGCCGCTCACCATTTTTTAACGGACTACAGATTCAGAAACAATGAATTGCATTTTGTGCAGATTCTTCCTATCTCGTCTAAAATTCATGTGCAAATTAATTTTTACTTGCTTCGATGGGACCACGAGGGGTCTTTGATACAATTTATTTATTTATTTATAGGTTGCTTTGCTAGATTCCTCTGCGAGATGTGTGTATTTTACCACATAGGGATTATTCCATATCCTCCATTCTTTCACTTTTCTTTTCAGTGTCTCCGCTACCCATTGACATTTTCTTTTCAGTCCCATTCGTGATATGTATTGATTGATTTTTGGGGAGAATGTGCAATAAATCATCGAACAGATGCTATGTTACTGGAAAACGCTAATTCCAGATTTAACGTGTTTCTGTGCATTCATTTAATCGAAATCCCACGTTAAATATTTCTTCTAACAGAGAAGGACTGTTGGGGTACTGAACAGATGGAAAACTTCCAGAGCAATTTACCATGGCCGCTTCGACCTAGCCGTAGATTTCTCCAAACTTCCTACTCGTTTCATCTTCAGTGACGCTATTAATTGGGTTTCCCCTGAAGATTTCCGGTTGTTAGCTTCAACTCAGATAAACAAAGATGATCTTTATGTCATTTTTACAGAATAATCAAGTCAACTACACACGTATATAATCCAACAGACCGGCAGTACGATTTAAATAATTTAAAATGGAAATATCTGGTATGTTCCCTTTGCGAATCTAGACTAACCCTTTCCGTTCGTTCGCAGGAAAGGTATTTTAGTACATCACTAATTACACAATAGGCAGAATCCTTGAAACTTGGTACCATGGGTTGCATGAATTTATGCCTTAGTGCGCTGTAATTATCCCGGCATTTTCAAATCTGAAGTTTTTTGAGGTTCATGCCGCAAAGTGGCAGGTAGTCCATCGCATCTTCGGCTGTCTGCGTATATTCCCGTATGCAGCCTGGCGTTATTAACTCCAACTTGTAATACTATGCTTCATACTTTTCGTTTAGCATTATTTTTTCCCCGAATCTGTTTTTTCTAATTAAATAACTGCTCTGTCGTTCTGCAAGGATTTCTGCATTCTATACGCTTGCGTAGCATAATACTTTTACGCTTTTATTTTCGGCCGTTCAGCTACTTAGCACCCACAAGAATCGTCTTTCTGCCTGTCGGTAACGAAATACATGTCGCTATATACGTTCGTATTAGAAGGAACAGTGCTTCACTGTTCTCTCGGTACCTTCCGCTCGCATAATTTGCTCTTGGGTCTACGAGTCCTGCGCGTTAGCACTATTGAGCCCTTGCAGCCCTAATAAGAAGTGGATGGCGAAAGCCAATTTCTGCGTCACATCTATCAGGTTCCTCACGCGGGTCACTGTGGCGGAGGCGGTAGATGATATCCGATCCCGACATTTTGATTACCTATTCATGTTGCTTACATATGCGAATAGTCAGTCTTTAGTATTTCACACCACAGTAAAGAACGCAAATTCGTCCCGTCGACCAAAGGATTCAGGTCGCACGCTTAACGTCTAGCACCCTGATGGAGACCAGGTGGGCAGGTCCCCGCAAACGTTTTGCACAAGTCACAGTCCGCATCTTTCTATTATTCGGGGTCCACAGCTTCTTAATAATACTTTGATTTCCGGTCTTTCATGTGCCCAGGACATACCGTCTCACTAACGAGCCACATCTATCGGTAACCGCTGTGAGCGGCGGTCGTGTTTTCTTACCACAAAATTGTTTATTTCACAACATACCGGCACTTAAGGCCGTCTTCGTACCCACTACTTGTCTACGCGTTGAGCTACCCACAGTTAGGAGCAGTATATATATCCGTACCCCCTCCTACAGCGTGTCTGCACAGAATGAAACAACTGTTTTTGGACGGTCATTTTTAGTGGCCATTAACCTTATCAACACAATTGATTTTTCGTTTACATTTCGGTATAGTATGGAAGTAAGTACCCTCCAATCCCTACACACGATCTTGCGCTTAGTTCTATAGGGGTAAAGTTAGGGTTGGGGGCTAGAGTTAGGGTTAGGCCCCAGGAATAGGTGTCCCCGGAACTTGGCACAAGGCCACCTTTAATACAGAGGCTCCTTATTCCCATGTTTACCTCACCTTTCTTGTACCTCGTCCTCTGTAATGAATTAGTTGTTTCAGCTAACTCTCTTAGTTCAGGTTTTTTTCGTACTTTGCAAAAAATGTCTGCCTCATGCGGTTTGTTGCAGGTACATCCTCAAGCAATATTCTCAAATTACTTGACACGGTTTCGTTTTCCTCCCTCAACCTTCCTGAAGTATGGTCACTAAGAAGAGGTTCAGTCGCCATGAAACTGAAAAAAGTATGCCCACTTTTTATTATTTATCTTCCATCTAGCGAAAAAAGAATCTGGTGCACCTCCCCCGAAGGGCCTACGTAACCTTGGCAACACGTGCTATTTAAATTCTGCACTACAGTGCATTTGTCGTGTTTCCGCTCTCCGTCATCTTCTGAATTCTGTACTTGAGAAAGAATTTTCCGCTACTGTAAAACAGTTCAACGACAATGTAACTTCGTTCGCCCTGGGAGTATTTACTGTTTGCGGTTTAGGGCTGGACGAATTCCCTGCAGTTGTATGTTCCATCACTTCATTCGCCCCTTACGAAGGCCTTTATTGCCTTCACGGATGATGCGCGCGAAGGTACGCGGCAGATTATTAGCCCAGCGGTAAGCCTTTGCGGTTTCTTTTATGACAATAATATGTTATATTTCATGTATGTAATTTTGTTTGCCAGATTGCAGGCAATAGTTTGTTCTGGTCATCATTAATACTTTCTGTAGTATCAACACATTTTGCCCTCCATTATTGTAGAATTGTAAACTCATATGCGCTTGTGTACTATCACTTAGTATTGTTGCACTTTGTTAGTTTTATGTTATTCACTTTTTTCCTGTTTCAGCCACTCAGGGATCTTCTAATACGCCAGTACCCGAGGTTTGAAGGGTTTGAACAGCAAGACAGTCACGAGGTTCTTCGTTGCCTTCTCGATGGCCTTCGGCAGGAGGAGGTCAAGCGGTGGCAGAAAGCCGTTTTGACAACTCTGAAAATTAATCCTAAAGTAAGATCTTAGATTTTTACTTGTTTTTTTTTCTTGTTTTTGTCCTGGTGTTTTCGGTGTCTTCTGAAGGAGGCGTCCTCCCAGTTTGTTATTGTCAGGTATGAGGGTCTTTTGGGTTGCAAGTGAGTAGTAGTCGAGCCGACATCGATATCGCTACCATTAAGTTGGTCAGTGTATCAGTTCCCTTAATCAGTTTATAGTGTCATCTTGCTTAATTTGTGTCGTCTCTTGCCGTGAGTTCGTCTTGCGTGTGCTTGACGTTTCGATTAACTATTTGCGTCAACTTAGGCGCTCAGTGAGAAGTTGCGAATTATAATTCTCATCGCTGAAGTAAGCTAGACACGAAAACTTGGTGTGCGCATTCGGTCGCCACAATCTGCGTGTTGAATGCTGCGCGCATGTCATCCGCTCACTAATTCACATGTCTAACCTCTCACAAATTTCACAATTGTAACTTTTAAATAATTGACTTGTTCTAGCCGATCCACATTTGAAGAATGCTGAAATTCCGGTAGGCCGATACTCACTGCTCCGTGCGAACTCCCTTTTGTCATCGCGAAGATATAATCTTTGTGCAAGTATAGAGGAAAAGAGCTCTTCTTTCACCTCCTATACTATTTGAGACGCTGGACAGTCGGCGCCGACTGAGCAACCATGTTTCTTAACACCTTTCGACACCTCGTCTGATGTGGCATGTCGTGGCCACTGTTTTATCTCCCGTTCAAGCTACCTGGCGTTGAGACTGATCGCATCTTAGATTCAATTATAGTTCAGTTCTTACCAGGTTCTTACTGCTGACATTGAGGTTTGGACGGGGGATTAGGCCTTGAATCTCTGGAATCAGGTGGTTGGCTGTTGTATACTGTCAGATTCCTATTGATCCACCAAAAAGTGTAACTTGACTGTTGTAAGCTAACTTTTTTAAATGGAACTTACATGATTTTAAGCACTCCAGTGTAGCAAAATAAGGAGTAAACTTCAAAATATAGTCGAAGGATGAAGGAGCCCGTGCTAAAAATTCCTCGTGGCGACGCCCACAGCTTTGGTTAGAGGAACTTTGGTACAGTTCCGTTGCATACAGAATACTCTCAACCGCTGCTTCGGCGCGGACGATTTCTGTCGAAATCTGTATTCGGGTTATCGGAGAGCATTAAAATCACTGATGGTTCACGTCCACCCTAGGACGCATCTTGCCACTTCTCAGAAAAATTAGATGACGTTTTTTTCGTTCCAATGTGCGTTGTTTTAAATTTTTGCAGTATTAGACCACCCCGATCACTATATGTGGTTGGGGAGTTTGCTGCTGTAAGTGCTCTTGTCGGTCGTCAACACCCCTGTCTGTCTTCTGTGTTCAATAGTTGTAAAATACTTGGGGATCTGTGGGGTCCAAGTCCTTATGATAGGCCGAATAACCTCCGTGCCTACTGCCCCCTTCTCGTTTCCAAGCTAGTTTTCATTGGCGTTCTAACTGTCATCACCAGAAGGCAGGGAAATGAATGAAATTCGTGCCAAGTCAAAGGACTATCAATGCGCTCCTTCACCGCGCAGCGATATAACAATGTTGACCCGCAAAATGAACCGCGCCTACACCTAAGAGGGGATGGGAGGATCGAACCTCTGTGTAGCACGCGTTAGATGTCAGCTTTATGCCTCCTCGTGTGCTGCGCCCAATTTCGCCCCATGTCGTCTTAACTCAGACATGCTGCTTACTGTTTTCAAGCAGAAGACTTATGCCCGCGGCCCCATCAGCCGCTGACGAATTTGCCTGGAACGCCTGTGGTGGCTTGGTAGACCGTTGCTTATCTGACTTCGAAAGCTCCAGCCAATCCAGCACATCGGTCTGCGTTTCCCGGATTGTGCTGAACGGCGTTTGAAGTTGGCCACAGTGGGCGCTGTACTCAAACAGGCGTCAGACTGGACTGCAGCCTACATTTATCGTGTTGCGCTGTCGTACATGCCCGTGTCACACGTTGGACTTCACGACTGCCTTTGCGCCCAGTTGGTTGAGAGGCATGGATAGTCTATTAGCGTATAGGAGGAGGAAGAGTAAGACCGACGCGTGGATCTATCACAACGCACGGGCAGTCGTGGTTGTCGATCTTTCTCAGGACTGAAGGTCAGGCTGCAATAGGTCCCTCTTAATGCGGCCTGTATGGTGCTTTCATTGATGTGTAGCGGGGCAAATTCATGTAAGACAAGCGCATAGGGGCTGTTTGGATTTGTCACTTATTGTGTCCGCGTCCACCTGTGTTTGTCTTGACGGAGATTTAGGGTGCGCAGAGAGTGCAGCAGATGCCGCGAAAGTCTGCCTCGCTATAAACTAATTCCTGTGCAATTCACCGGTGGTCGGTGTCGGTTGCGACAGACGAATTACTAATCTGACAACTGTTGTATGTCAGTCTGTCTGTAACCCTGCACTAGGGAAGTAGGCAATAGGAAGTGCAGTGCCCCTTTTATGCAGAAGGGTGTATTAGTTTCAAATATCTCAACTTTTCGACTATTTTTTGTACTTTTTATCATCAACGCTTGAATGGATGAAAGAGCAAGGCCATGATAAGGAAATCAAGCAGACTTGCGGCAGCAACAAATTAATTGCGGAGGAGTATTACTATCAGTAATTTTTCTTACAAATGAAGGCACGAAGTGACAGTTAGACACGGCTATATGCAGTCCGCTGGGGCATAATACTGGGGGCAGCTCTTAAACTGCACTCAATTCTTATTATTAACGTTTGGAAGGTGGAAAATATGCGTTTCAAGCGAAAATCACAATTCAAATTAGACCGCCATCACGATAAATGTTCATTCTGCCAAGAAAACTCTTCACGTGCGTTTCAGCATAAAAGTCTGCGTATAGCTGTTGGGGAGTCGTCCCATGTGGGGATCAAGTTGTATTTTGAGTAACTCAGTAGTTCCCTTAAGTCCGAAATTTTTTCTGGCAAAAAGTTGTGTATGTGAATGCAATACATCCCGTATTCCACCATGTAATATCGACCCCGGATTGCAGTTGGTCCCACCACATGCGTAGGCGTGTATCAAATGTGTTCTGTTTCCTGTTGGAAAACTGGTGCAGTCATGAGTGCGTGTGATGTTTTTTCATCATTTATCACACGAAATCGCACGCGCAAAATGTTCCTTAATCAAGGCCTGCTGGAAAAAGCATCGTCTCACATATGGGCGAGCTAACGTCTTGCTTTGGAACACTTTTAACCCATTGGTATAAATAGCTAAAAAGACGAGAGAGGTCTTGAATATAGTTTTTCTAGTCTTTTTAATACCCTGCTTTCAAACCTTTACCCTTGCTTCTTCAAAAAGCTGTTTAAAGAACCTTTATATTTGCTAATAGAGGCGAAGAGGCGAGTTCAAGAAAGTAGTCGCAGAGAGGGAGACACGATCGCCGTAGCGAGAGAGAATCTGTCTCGGATGATGGATTCGAGTGAAAACTCGAAAAGTTAGGCTAATAAAGCTCTTGTTCCAGCGATCTTGCCTACTTCTTCGCAACCTTAATATTTCGTAATGTCTTTGAAGAACTGCCGTCATTTTTAAGTGAAACGCTTTTCTTAAATTCTGGGCTTGGCAAGACTATTAGTTTAGACGACGATGACGGCGGCCTACGGCCGCTCGGGCAACAAAACCAACCACCAGACGAACACTCATACGTGAAAAATGTGTCTGAACTAGTCGAAAGACAATTTTAAAAATACTAGGTACACGTAGCACACCAGCCGGCAACTGCAGAATATCGGTGAAACGGCCATATTTTTGGCCGTTCTTTCACCAAACGTCGGCTCGGTCCGGGCGCTTCCATACATCGACGACGTTTCTGAGGCGGTCTCCCGTCTCTTAAGACCGCTGGGGATCGGCATCGCCCACCGGCCGGAGTCAATAATTCGACATCTGGTCATGAGACCTAAGGCCCCTCTTCCACCAGGTGAAACCACGAACGTCATCTACCGGATCCAGTGTAACTCCTGCGAAGCCAACTACATTGGGGAGACGGGCAAATGACTACAGACCCGTGTTGGAGAACACATGAGGGCAGTAAGGCGAATGGACCCTTTGTCTCTAGTGCCGAACACTGCGCCGATTCCGGACACACGCTCGCCTTTCAGCATGTCAAAATTCTGGGCCGAGGAAGCGACCGCATAGCCAGGGAAACAATCGAGGCTTGGCACACGGGGACACCCTCCATCAACCGTTGTGTGGCTCTTCCCGCTGCCTACCAAGCCCTTCGGGCGCAGCTCAGTAAACAAATGAGCAGACGTGAACCCAGGCTAAACATGAATCCAGACATGTGCGAGTCCATGGCGGATGCACACGCAGTCACCCCTCAACCTGGTTCCGACGAAGGCACAGTCGTCACCATAGCCGTTCCATCTACTAGTCCGGCGGACGAGAAAACGGACAGTCGTTGCGGCGTAAACAAGATTGCCAGCCTTGGACGACAGTTAAGGTCAATGAAGGTACGACGACGACCACCAACGTCTCAACGCCGGCCCCCGATGTAGATTGAGTACTTTCTGTCACCCCCCTCCCCCCTGTCCACTACAGTCCCTGTGTGCAGGCGCTGGTGACCACTAAAGCTGATCCAACCCCCCCTCCCCTTCATCCGGTAAGAAGACGCTCTAGGACTCCCTCCCCGCCCCATCCTCCCTGCCGCCCTGACTTCGTATGTAAGAAAAAAAACCCGTCTTGACATGACTGTCACCCACCTATAAATACTGTGAAGCGCGATACCACACTCACCTCTGACGATGGAAGCTTGTATGCATTTGAAACGTCAGGACAGTAAAACTATGGTTCCCGAGATCACCTTTTCTTCTCATATATATATATATATATATATCGTAGACAGAACGTTCATTGATCAGGTTGTGGGATATGCTAATTCTGTTGTGCCTTGAGGCTCAATCTAGAGCCCTCGCAAGCCGTCGCAGGTTCGACCGAAAACATACCTATGACCCAGTGATAACGTTGAATACCAAACACTTAATGACTGCAAGATCCCTGGTCCCGAAACTCTGGGATCGGGGGTGACTGGCTGACCTCACCTGTCTCCTTTTTCCTGCCCGCACTCCCTTTCATCCGATATAGTTATATATGCATCCTTCCCTCACTCCCAAGCGTACATCTCTCTCCCTTTAGGAAGCAGATGAGAAGTCCAAGGCTGAAATCAAGGCTTGGGGCCGGTCTCTCAGTCTCTGCACCACGATTGATCGTATCTTCGGTGGTGTCCTCCTCACCTCGCTTACTTGCTGTGAATGCCACACAGTTCGGTCCAACTTTGAAATTTTTCTTGATCTCTCGCTGCCCATCTTAGAGGAGTCTACACGTACTCCTCCGCACACCGCCAGGAAGTCGAGCAGGACAGATGCCTCAGCATCAGACCAAAAACGAGACTCATCCAGTACGTGGCACGCGTGGAAACTGTTTTTTTTTCCAGTGCACCCCTCCTCTCCTCATTAGTTACGTGTTCTCGGACTTTCCAGTAGCCCACGATGAGAGGAGAGTGAGCTCGATCCAAATTTCATTCAGCGCTTAATTCCCTCGCATGACCAATCAGCACGAGTGTGGCATGCGCAGACTTGACTGTAGCCTCGTCAGCAACTGTGAAAGCTCCTCTTACCGATTGTCATGTTTTCGTCTTCCCATTGGAAAGTGGCGGACGTGGGAACAGCGCGAAAGTCTGTTTCATCGTGGACATATTCATGTGCAGTTCACCAGTTCGGAACAGTGGTAGATCTCGTCGTTTAGGGTGGCCGACCTGATGTTGCACGATTCCCAATCGAAGGGAATTGTCGCTGTTCCATAGTGCTCATAGTGATGATTTTTCGTGAACCCCTTTATATTCTGGTAGACTTTCCCCGCATCTACCTCACTCACCCTTCCTACGCCTACCATGTTCCAATCATCGTCCTGATCCCCACGACTGGGTGTGTGGGCGACTCCGAAGCCAAACGTACTGTCCATGTGTGTCATAGACAACCTGGCCCCCAGCTCCTAAAAGACGAGAGATTACTAGGTCTCACATAAATTGGCTTAACACGGGGACCGAATTTCAATCTGACCCTCGGTCATGACCAGAACACAGGTACCTTGTCACGTGACTGTTAGCGCTTTATGATGATATGAATGTGCGTTTTGTAGTTTGCAGTGAAGGACTAAGCTCTGTGCCCCCGCCTACCAGCGGGATATCCCAGCTAAGCCTGCCACAGAGAGAGGTTAGATTGGACGCATTGGGTGGCCTAGCATGTACCTGCGTCTAACGCCTGCTGTCTGTGTGGTGGATGATGTAGTTATCGCCTTCGTATGTGCGCACATGACTGAAATAAGCCCGCATGTTGTCCTCTTATTTGGCGGACAGTCATGTCTACGCATTGCGGCAATTCAGATGCACATAGAACCGGCACTGCGCCAAAGGCGGCACTCTGTTTGTGATTGGTAGAAGGAAGCAACGTGCCTATATCCGGCCTACGGCTACATCGTAAGCTCCATCCACTGCGCCCTCACATCAGAGTCACAAAAACTGGACCAGTAGGCGGCTGGGCGTGGATGTTGTCCGAGCGATTGGTTGTGGTAGCAGGAGAGAACATTGGACATTATCATACTGATAGAAGCGAACAGGCGACATCCAGGTGGCAGTTCCCAAGACGAAGATGTGGTCACTGGATCAGGAAATTTATTGGCCTGACGTTTCGGATTCTCACTCGAATCCATCATCAGAGACAGTCGCAGATAAGGGTAATGGTGGCACAATGAGTGCAATATTTATAGCACGTGGCTGCCGTAGGACTATGTGCGTACTGTAATTAACAGCTGTCGCAATCGCCGCTGGGGTCGTAATCGATGCGATGGTGGCTTGTCAGTCCGCGTCCGAGTCGTTAATTGCCGCGATTTCGTCATCCCTGCTGGATGCTGGTGTGACGATTGCTCGGCAAATTGGCTTACTGTCACTGGGATTATTGCTCGCTCGCGCCCTTCCCATGCGACTGATTCTCCTGCCTAGATAAAATCTCATCACGGAATACGGTAACTGGAGGTCATTGCGCTTGTTGATGGATTGCGGGCCTGAGAACCATGGCTTGAGCAGTGCGCGGCTCACGCGGTTGTCACCCCTTGTGAGGATTTTGGCCTCTTGAAACTTGAAAATATGGCCGGGTCCCGTCGAATGAGCCGCCACCTGAAAGCTAGCGTCTCCCCACGTCACTGCTGCTGCGTGCTCGGCAATTCGCGTACGTAGTAATCGCCCAGTTTCTCCGACGTAGTTGCTTTGTCCGCAACTGCACCAGATCTGGTAAACGACTCCTGACATTTCCTGCCGTGGAAGTGGGTCTTTCGGCCTCATGACTTGGCGCCTGATGGTTGTTTCCCGCCTGTTTGCAACTCCAACTCCAAGTGGAGTCAGAAGACGACTGACGGCTTCCGAGTAGCTCTTCACGTCACCAGGGACCATATCCAACCGGCCCCAAATTTCGGCGGGCTCTTCCGCAATTCAGATGCACATCAAACCGGCACTGCGCCAAAGGCGGCACTCTGTTTGTGATTGGTAGAAGGAAGCAACGTGCCTATACCTGGCACACGGCTACATCGTAAGCTCCATCCACTGCGTTCTCACATCGCAGTCACAGACACCGTACCAGTGGGCGACTGGACGTGGAAGTTGTCTGAGCGATTGGTTGTGGTAGTTGGAGAGAACGCTGGAGATTGTCGTACGTCCTAATGACGTGACTGTCGCAGCGTCTCTGTAGGCATTCAAGCAAATCGAACCGGAACCAGGAAAATGGCGGCTTGCTTGCTACCGCTGCCCTGGGGTTCGGTTTTTGGGCCAAAGCGCTGGAAGGGACGATCTTGTTAAAACAATCTGAGCCGCCGTTGGGGACCTGTCTGTACTCGAAATCCTCAAGAAACCACATGAACAGCTTTTCGATTCGAGTATTGCGATCGACACATACGGTGCCTGACGCGATCCAGCGGTGCAGGCGAATAATATGCGGTCAGGACTGCTCTATCGAAAACGGACTTTTGGTATTGGATGCTGGAATGTACGAGTGTTCCTGGACCTTGTTACTCAGAGACTGACGGCGTGCAATCTTTGTCAGTGCAGGCGAATCGGGACATCGTGTTGATTTTTGTCGGAAATATGTGCAAAACAATTGGTCGAAGTCCTCCAGTCCTGTGTGATTGTGTGTGTTCAAATGGCCGCGAAAGCGGCTGCACTGGCTTTGAGGGCAATTTGCCGCGCCTGCCAGTTACTTGCAGGCCTCCAGGTTCTCCTTTTACCGCCGTTTTTGCCGATTATACCTACGAGTACCCCTATCGACGTTAGCATGGGAGAGTCGCCTATGCGGGCCTTTATAACGGACCCTTCATCTGATGACCGTATGACGGCATTAGCCGAACACAGCAGTTGTTTCCCGGTCAAGGATCAGGTTTCCCACCGTCTAGTTTTCATTCTTTTAGTGCATTTTAGCTCGTGCCTTTTGGTGCATCCGGGATGAAAGTCAGTGTTTATTTCAGTAGTGATGTCTCCGGCGAGGTTTTTGACGAGCTGTATAGGCGGATGTTGCGTAGTTTCCCCGTTGGTCTGCTTCGAAAGGATTACTGCTTGCAGCATGTTATTACCGACAAACACAAGGGAGACTGGAGTGACCATTTCTAGCCTATTAGCCGTCGTCGGCCAACTCAGCCCTGAAGTGTGGAATACCCGAGGCTCGAACTCGCGACCTGTTGGTTAGAAGTCCACGCCTCTAACCACTGGGCCACGAGCGCGTTGTCCCATCGGTTTTCGATCAGGAATAAACAATGGTAGGGGGCGCTCACCGATCATTCATACGGAACTCACTCGTTCCGTTGTGCCTTAAGGGCTCTCTCTCTCGAGTCCAACCAGCAGCCGCACAGCGGCGCATGATATATAGGCAGAATGGCATTACCGACAAAGAAAAGGGAGATTGGAATAGCCATTTCTGGCTTATTAGCCGTCGTCAGCCGCTGGCAGCTAACAGGGTGCCTATATCATGCGCCGCTGTGCGGCTGCTGGTTGGGAACGAGAGAGAGCCCGTAAGGCATAACGGAACGAGTGAGTTCCGTAAGAACGATCGGTGAGCGTCCCCTACCATTGATTACTGCTTGATCAGTGATTACTCCTCACCTTACTTGATATGAGCCCGTCTAGGAGGCTTATACTAGTTATTTTCAGCCTACCGGTTGTAACATAGGCTTCCAGGCTGTTTTACAAGTGAGCCGAAATCCTCGTGGTTGCGCCATGTAGACGCAAAGATCGCCGTAGCGTGTTCCGGTCGCCCACTTAGTGCCTGTGCTTTACTTACGGTAGTGGTTTTTGAAGCCAGAGATTGCACTAGTGAATTTAGTGTTTTACGACAACGCACGATTACATGTTGCCAGGATGACACTACGGAAACTCACTGACTTGGTACAGGAGACTTTACCACATTTTCTATATTTTCCCGATTTTTCACCCACTGACAATTAATTCTAAAGCAGGCATTGACAGCAGAATTTATTGGAACCGATAAATTTTGCGACGGCTTATCAACTGCAGCCTGACCTTGAATAACACAAGTAATATGGGAGAAAGATAAGGAGGTTTGAACTTCCACAGAGAAAATCAATATAAAAAGCAAGGTCATCGTATACTGTGCGTAGACTAATTAATAAAATGATAACTTGCAAACGCAACATAGGAGAGAAACGGGGGAGTTTAAACGCCGAGGGATTTCGCAAATCAAAAGGGCTCACATCTACCAGGGCAAGCTGAGGTTTACCACGTGCCTCCAAGTAGCGTAGTAACCGAGTTGTTCGTGTTCGATTACGCCCTACTTCCTATAGTCTGTTCCAATTATCAGCTTGAAACCAGTCGGCAGTCACGTCAGCGTGTCGTTGTGCACAACACGTCGATTTGCTCGTCAGTATGACTAATAAACGGTGTAGTTGTGGAGTTGATAATCTAGTTAAGTGTGATGTCTAGACTAAGGAGCGTCTCTGTTATGTCAATGTGCATTTGACAAATTTTCATCTTCTGATAAGTCAACACTAAACTATTATGAACAAAGCTGTTTCTTACAAACGACTTTCTAGACGGCGACGGATTGAAGCGGCTATTTCAGCCAAAATGTCTGTTCAGCATGCATGAATAAACGTTCGAAAAATAGACTACATCAAGTGAGAACACGAAAGTGTTCCTCAGAAACTCCCAAAATTAGGCTGATTTTTTGGAGAATGTCGATCAGGTATATGCGGCTATTGTTGTGTGCAATCTCTAGATGAAATTAAAAGTTGCAGGTTTGCAACTCGGGCAACAAATGGCAATTAAGTATTTTACCGGATCTTTAAATGCACAAGAATATGCATAAATGATGTTGGTGTAGTGGAGGTCACTAATATTCTGCCATTTTTTGCGACAACGTTTAGCCTCAGCTTATGGATTAAGTCGTCTGTCAGTAAAATAACACATCAAACCAATACCTTATGTAGGGGAGTCTTGAAATGCTTTCAAATTACGCTTGGATATGCCACGGATGTTAACACAAGTTTCTGGAAAATCAAAATTTGCCAGCTAATCATGTTTGGGTCGGCGAGTTGTCCCAAAAAATCTTGGGGTTCCGTTATTTTCCCTGTTCTGTTGCTGCTGAACAATTTGAATTTATTTGTCAGACAGAAAACGCCTGACAAGAGCCTGAAAACCCGATCTTCAAACAGTTTAATGATCCATGCAAAAGCCAAATTTTCCATCTATCTTAAAAAGGTGCAGTGGCGTCTCAAAAGGCGCGCCGGTCTGGTATAACGTAGAAGGCATTCTGTGCTGTCTAATCCAACCACGATTTTTTGAAAAGAGCGCATGATTTAACTATAGTCTCACAACCTAAATTCTTACACCCCGAAGACACGTACTTAAAATTGTGAATGACCAGGTCTGAATCGCAGCAGAGTTTGAAATACCGATAGTGCCAAAAACGTATTCCTGTTGTATTTCATACTGTCGGTACAATTTTTCATTCAGGAATTCAGCTATATGATGGAAACGATCAAAGTACGACACAAAGTCCTTACACGTTTACACAAGCGACAACTTCAAGTATTGAATTAGCCAAAGGGCTGTTAACTGACTTAGTTGAAGCAATATTTCCCCGGAATGAATTTAAAGGAAGCAAGGACAGCAGAATTTAACGGTACCAGAAAAGTTCGTGACGGCCTCTCAACTGCAGCCTGTCGTTGCATAACCGAAATAGCAAGTGAGAAAGTTACAGGCGTTTGAATTTTGACAGAGAAAATCAATGTAAAACAGCAAGGTCAACGTATACTGCACGTAGACTAGTCAATAAAATGATAACTTCAAAATGAAACGTAGGAATGAAAATGGGGAAGTAAACATGCCGAGGGATTTCGAAAATCAAAAGGGCTCAGGTCTACCAGGGCAAGTTTCACCACGTGGTCTAACTGTTTACATAGGTCGAGTTTCTCCCGCCGTATATAGGCTGCCTCCAGGTAGCGCAATAACCGAGTAGTTCTTGCTCGAACTAATACTCGAAAAGATGTTTTGGGTCAACCGAATGACCGCTATCGAGGAGGTGTTTTGCAATAGAAGACCGTGGAATAATATTCTCTTGCTCTAGAAGCCATTTAGGCAGGTGCTCAACTGACCTGACTGCCTTTGCGTTCGCCCAACCTACTTGCATCCACAAGTTCATGCGAATTCGTAAACACAAGCTGACGTTGCGTGCAATGACAGGGCATCCCTCGCCCGTGGAACTTGGATAGCCTTAGTGGGGCTGCAGAATAGGAGTTCAGCTGCGTTGTATGTTCTTTCACTGGTGCATCAGAATCGTCGCTTGATGGTATTTGAGATGCTGTTACCCTTTAAGGGTAAAGATATTAGAACGGGTTTTTTTCGGACCGGATTTCTCCGTCAATTTTGGCCGTAAAGTGTTGCTGCACTTTTCGGTGAACCGTGTTAGATGTCCCCGATTAGGCAGGGCCGTTTTGAGGCAAGAAATTTCGGCCGCGTTTCAATAGAGCAATTGTTTCTTGCTCTTTGGAATAGAGTGTAAACCAAATTTCACTTTCGTTGTATCGGCACACAGCTCAAGAAGTGTGAGTATTGTCCCTTCCATGTATCCTTATGGAAAACCGATCGCCTTATTGAACCATCTTCCTGTCTAGTCATGAGGACATCCAGGAAGGATAGTTTGTTACGTTGCTCCTTTTCCATTGTGAATCTGATCTTAGGATGGAGACTATTCTCAGCATCAATGACGGTTGATTTTTATCTCATTCAAGTCAGCGATGCATATATGTTCAAGGATCATACTTGGAGTAATTTTAACATACATATTGTTACTTTTTTTATCCAGATTAAGTGTTTGTTTTTGAAATCGGCCGATATATTCCGAGCAACATTATACTTTGGGCCTCTTTCTAGAGTTCACTGGGATTATGTTTCAGGAAGGTAACTTTGCATAGACCTACTTTCTCACTTTTCCCCTTGCATTTTTAGCCGAAAAATCTCGGAAGTCCAAACGGGAGTTGAAACGCGAGGTAATTTGCCATGTTATTGATTTCATTGCATGCCGTTCTAGGAAAAAATTACAACGTTATCTCTCTTTGTGTATATTTCGTGGCCACCTATGTGTCATGTCTGTCCGTTTTATGGTAGTTTCGGAAGTTTTCAGCAAGGCTAGTCAGGGCTGTCAGTGTGTTTTAAAATAGGGCACGTGGGGAGAACTGTTTCCGGGTCTCAGTCTCAAGTTCTCGTCGTTTCTCATTGACCTCCTCTGTTCGGACATTTTACAGAAGTAGACCATGTCGGCCGCTAGTGTTTAGTACTCTTCTGGAATTATCAATCGATTCGGGGATAATTGAGCAAAGTCGGCAGGATGTCCTTTTTGCCATCGTATCATTGCCGCCAACAACATTACTGTAGAGTAGTCCTCGCGGTGGTCAGTAACTTCATGTCCTCAAGGTGTGTCCTCCCTCTCGAAGGTGGATCTGCTCAAGCTTTGCAGATATGCTGAACTGGTTAGGTTATTCCGGTGCCTAGGTAGCCAGCTTCCTCTGAATAACAGTTGCGATGGAAGTATTGAGGTTTCCGACTTAGCTCTTCGTCGCAGAACTGGGCCGTCACTGCTGTTGCTTTGGACGTCCTCTGCCGGCTTTTGGGACTTTCTCCGCGGTTCCGTATGAAGAATGTTATCCTGTGGAATACCCGACTGCTTCCAAAGATCCCGCCTGCTATCAGCTTCTAGTTTGTGCTGTTTCTTGCTTTGGCATTATCAAATTTGATTCGGAACTCTGTGCACACTAATTTTTCATACCGTTCCTATCTGACTTATTTTGGCCTTCTGTCATATTTTTTCCTATTTAGCGCAAGGCAAAAGCAAAGCTGGCGAGACCGAAACGGAAGAATAAGTACAGCAAGTTCAAGGGTCAATGCCGTAGTGACTCCGATTTCGACGATATTGTTGACGTGGTGGATTCACCTCTACAGGACGAAGCCGACGATATCAAGGTGGAGGATGTACACCTTTCCCCTGAGGCTGAAGTAACAGCACCGGTGGTTTCGGCGGAAAGCTCAGCAGATGATGCTGTGGTGACTACTGCCAATCTTCCACCGTCAGGAAAAAAACCCCTGTTTAGGAATGACGAAGAAGGGGCGACTACGACAGGACTGACGACCTCTCAGCCGGGGCAAGCGGAGTTGTTAAATAAGGATAGCGAGGCTGTAAGACGTCGCATAGAGCTGTTGGCTGATGCACAAAACGACATCACTGTCGAGGAATCGGATGTGCCTGAATTCAGGTCTGCGCAAAGTAATCCAGCCTCCCCCGTCGTTCCCGAAGGTTTGTTATTTATTTTTCGTATTAATGCCTACCCTACGATATTTACATTTTGATGCTAAAATCCTCCGTTTTTGTTTTCGCTTCATGCGGTTTTTGTCATCCTTCTTCCACAGAAATGGAGTCATCTTTCATTGTTCTGAGCTCTTCGTCACCAGAGAGGAAAGGAGATGGAAACGATGGTGAGAGTAGGTAGACTATTAACTCTTGTTTTTTATTGGAAATCTAATTTATTTTCCTAAGAAATAAATCTGATTCATTTTTTGCGACGTGTTCCTTACTCCTTGTATTGTCTAACCACTGCCTACCTCCATTTTCATGTCATAAGTTGCCCTCTTACTCGCATTGAATTACCTGCGGATCTGTTTTCTTTCCAGCGAAATGGTAGTCGCCAGCTTACTAAAATTTTGAACTCTGTCCTAGGAAGTGTTGCATTTTGATATAGCATTTTTCAAGCAGGCTAAGTGTAGGATATGTTAAAATCAAGCACATACCCGTCCAAATGTCTGAGTGCATTGTCGGGTAGATCTATACTTGCATATCCGACCTTGGGGCCAGCCGCTACATCGTTCGACCTGTTAATCGGGTTTTCCCCTTCACTCCTTCTGTGGCTGTCTCCCGGAGACTGGGCCTAAGCGTCTACGCTACCTAAATTAATAGTTACGTTTGAAGGAGAGTATGTTGGAGTCTTGGCTTGGGCCTTCTCCTCATCGTCCAAAAGACTTCTTTGCTCATGTGCGCACGCCGAAGTGATTTTTACACTTAATAAAGTGTGGCTACTTTTTACAAGCCAGTAACCACAATTATGTCCGCGTACTTCTCGTTTGGATAGCCAGTCCAGATGGCGCCGTAATGTGACGGTTGTAGCGTTAGTGAGCATAGCGCACTTCCGTAAATAAATTCACATCTGATGAGCCTGTTACCTTTCACTCGGGCATATTTTGGCCACCTGCATAAATACCCTTCATTTTTAAGAAGTCACTTTATCAAACCCGTGTGCTTTCAAGTGTGTCTTCAATTGTGTTTGTCTGGAAAACGCTCAAACGTGCTGTATATACGAGTGGGCCAGTGATGATGTTCGTTTCTGATCTTTGTTGCGGTCTCACCCGAGCAATCTTGGTTACTTCAAGGCATTTTCTTCTGTGTTATTCTATGTTCATTTGTTGCACCTTCGCCTGTTTTTTGTGCAGTGATTTGCATCGTTCCATCGTTCCCCACTCCTCCTACTGCCCTTTATTATCATTGGGGGTTGTTCTCTCTTAATTCGCGGACAAAGACATCGGAAGTATCATTGGACGTATTAACGTCTTATCTTTTACTTTTTGCCACATCACTGATCCCATTATCCCTCATACTACGGTATACGATGACTGCTAAGACAAGCTGCAAGACAAAACGCGATCCCTCCAAGTTCGCCCTCCTAGCCGAAGGCCACTCATACGCGGCTCGTTGTCGTTGGGTTTGTAGGCGCGCGAGGACAGCGTTGCGGGCTACTTCGATGTGACTTTTGTCGGCAGCGTCGTTCATACCCTAGGCCGAATGGGATCCACATGAAAGTTCGACTCTTGTGACAGACGATGTCCACTGTGTGCCCCACAAAGGGGTGAGAGCAGGCACGGCGCCTGTTTTTTGGTGATAGTGGACTTCCGCAGCATCTATTGCACTCTTTCCTCCTCGGCCACCTGGGTCTAGAGTGAAGACAGAGTCAAGAAGACCGAAGGTGGGGGAGGGCACAGGTTGTGACTGCCACGGCCGGATCCGCACCTAGGCGTACCACCATACCTGCTGCGGGGAGTGGCCGCAGTTACGGACAGAGCTGGAGAGCTTGCTTGCGCGCGCCATATGGTCTCCACACCAGGATTTCACGCGCAGGGAGATAGAACCCTCCGATCTCATATGCAGCAGAGGGGCTGTGGCGTCCAGCCAACATGACCGGTCCGGCGTCATTGTTCAAGACCTTGCTGCCTCAATGTCATTCACCCCGTGCAGCGAGTCGTTCCAGACGCGCTGACCTGAAGCCGCTCGACCGACTTCAGCTCGAGCACAGTTGCGTCCACACAGCGTCGCGGCTACCCATGCCCCACTTGAACGCGCCATCCCCTGCAACCAGCAAAACAAGCCACCACCCCTCGACAAATGCAACTGGTCACCACTTGAGCTTGACCCACGAGCCTACAAAAGCGGCTGCCACCACTATCTGAATGACTCTCAGGCATGACTGGACGCAGTCAACTTCAGCCCTGGCTTCGCCAGTGGCCACTGCCGCCTGAGAGGACCACTCCGGGTTCTTTACACAATAAACCCCTCATTCAGGTTCCATCTATCTCTCTCCTTCCAATCTAGGATTTGCCCTGATTATGGTAGCGCCCAGACTGCACACACTCACACTGCTGTGCCGCTACAGGGCCATACGGAGAAAGGAGCCGAAAAGCATACTTCTCACTAACGTGAGAGCTGCCGGTGTTGTGCGATTTTTGAGGGGTGTGCGCGCGCTGCATGCGTTGATGTGACCCTGTCGGCTGTGATTTACCGCAGGCTTTCGTGAATGTACAAGTGCTGGGATGTACGAGGACAATATATATATGCAGTTGAGGCGATGACGTCTGGCGTATGTTGGTGCCCCAGGCACTGATTCGCCAGGCTCCGTACGATGGACTCCCAGGTGACCGATGCGTGAGGTGAATGTGCGGCGACAGTGTGGGCATAACAGGTCGGGAGCTACAGAGTTGGTTTCGATGGTGGCGGTGGTGGTGCTGCTGCCGTTGCTAGTGTTGAGTGCTCTGAGCAAAGGGGGAATTATTATGCTGGGGAGTGGTGGATGCGTAAGGTGTGCCAGGTGTATCGATACTGCCGTGCGCTCCGCATGAGACCGTGCGGTCGGTGAATGTGCGTGGGCAGTTGAGGTGGATGCGACGAGTGTATGTTGATGCGGGGTCCACTTACTGGTCACTTGGCAGCAAGTCGCCCCTGGGAACGGTCAACGTAGGGTGCTCACTTGCGGGGGGTGGTCTGGACGTGTGAAAAGTTAGTGGGCAAGTGAGGGAAAGATCAGCCGATCCACGCAACTGTTGCGACCAATGATGTCTACCGCTGCCTTACGAGGATGACCAATCATTGGTGACCTACACGTGAATTAGCCCATAGTTGGGCTAGCTATAGCAACATCTATCGTGCTCTGCCTCATTCAGCTTACTCTGCCGACAAGACAATGTGAGGATGCAGAAACTCTCGTTGACAGAACTAAGCGGCTCATATACGCTGACCGCTCAGATCTCACGTAGGCGAAATCACGCAACCTTTGCTTTTGGACTCTCCCTTCCCACGTACTGGCCTCTCTTATTGGTCGATAACTTTTAAGCATCTGCAGCCTGTTTGTATTTGCAATCGACGGACGTCGCTCCACTTTCAACCTTGTTGTTTTCTGCCTTCACACTTCATTCTTCCTCAGGCGGAGACCTCGCCGACAGTGGTGATAATCTGGCGGACGACGAAGATGAGGGTCTCTCGGACTGTCATCAGTACGGCGGTGGCGCTGATCAAGATGAGGAATCCGCTGAGGTCTGCCAACTTGCTGCCAGTTTTGCCGACGTTCGCCTGGATGCGGCCACAGGCATCTCCTCCTCCCTCTCCGAGGAGGCTCAGGCCAAAAGCATTGCCCAACGTGCCCTCAGTCAGAGTTCGTCGTCTGCATCGTCGCTTACCGATCTGGAACGCTGTCTGGCCCGCTACACAGCCTCTGAGGCGCTTTCTGACAGTAACCGGATCGTCTGTGAGACCTGTACCCGCAGGCAGCAGCATTCGGGCACATCTAAGAAGACGCCCGTGCTTTGCAGGGCCATCAAGAAGGACATTATTATTCTTCCACCGGCTGTCCTCACTATTCACCTGAAGCGCTTCCAGCAGGTGGGCATATTTATTCTAGTTTCTTAGATTTAATTCTGGGTCAGATCTTATTTCGTAGCCATACCTGCAGTTGACAAGCCCCAGTCTATTCCCTAACAGGTACGGCTACGAAATAGGATCTTGCCTTTGATGGCCATCCAGGCCATCAGAGGTGGTCTGTTCTTGCTCGTTTTTCTCGCATGACATTCTGGGAGTTGATGTCCTCCCCCCTTCGTTTTGCCCACCCGTGAGCCGATTTTATGTGGCCTGTTGGGTTAGGGTTATGCCTTTGGGCTTAGGTTTTCGGGTTACGGTTAGGGTTTGAGCGTACAAATAGGTTTCAGTATTACGGTTAGTTTTTTCAGTTACGGCTATGTCTAAGGGCTACGGTTACGTTTACGATTTTGGATAGGTTTACGGTTGGGGTTGCCATTAGGGTTAACGTTTAAGGTTCAGGTTAGGGTTAAGGTAAGGATTAGGGTTAAGATCGCCGCCCGCTTCCCCATTCCTGGCTACCAACTGCGATCTAGCCGGCCTGTCTATTTCCATGCACGGTTCGACCATTATTAAGCCATCACGGAGTTATCTTACTGATATTAAAAGTACAGTGAGTGCTCGATTTCATGAAATGTTAATCGAAATTCTAAAGTGCGTTCCCCATTACCAAGGGTTACTTAGGTGCGGTTCTAATACTGATTTTCTTGCGGCATAATCCTATAATATTTGGGACTCGGCGAGATGTCAACTTTTGAATACACGGATTTTTATCACTAGAAACCGTTCTCGGTAAAAAGCGACTACTTAAGTAGCATGCATTGTTCCCATTGATTTTCAATGGCCTTGTAAATTCAAATGTATTTTGTAGAAATTACGAAGAAAAACATGCATTCTTTCAGTCCTTTGATAGGGGGTCATCTTCTCTTTTTATTTAATACTCGAAAAAGAAGTGGAATTAAGTTTTTAAACAGTTTTCTAATTGCCAAATAATTTGAAGCCTGATCAGTCGTTGCCTCAGCGCTTAGAGATTTCCGTCTATAAGGTGCATGTGTTCCGCGTAAAGAAAATCACACACTTTTCTATGTCATTAAAAAGATATCATACAGAGTCCATAAAAGTTTGCCATGAATGCGGACTATGTTGTACATGTCATGAGGAGCTGGGGTAAACGGCCAGGCCCGATGCTATATGAATGGGCATTGCGAGCTCTTAAAAAATCTCATAATAAGAAACTTCTTTAAAACCTAACTATACTCCTTCCTTGGGCATGAAATATAAAGAAGACGTGGTTCTCTATCAAACGACTGAGGGAAAGCATATTTTTGTTTAGGCTGTCTATAAGATATATTTGACTTTGCAAATCCCTCAAAAATCAACGGGACAGATGCATGCTACTTAAGTAGTCACTTTTTTACCCAGCGCGGTTCCTACAGGAGATTGGGAAGCGGTGTATTCCAAAGCTGACATCCTGCCGAGTCTGAAATGCTATAGGATTATGCCGCAAGATAATCAGTATTACCACCGCGCCTAAGTAATCCTTCCAAATCGGGCACGCATTTTGGAATTTTAGCCAACATTTCATGAGCGCTAACTCACTGTACTTGCTAACGACTCACGCAGCAGCCTTTCCACTGCTAATTTCCGCATCCGTGTTAAGTCATCTGCAGGCACAGAAAGCTGTCTCGCCATGTCTCCTGAACAGCGTGGCAGAGAAAAGTCATAACATATCACAGCCGCTTCCTGCATCTGGCACTTGAGCCTCTACCCGTAACGTGCTTCGCATTCATTGTCTTATCCAGCGTTATTATCTACAGTAAGTAGTCGAAGTACCCACAATTTCTATGAGATCATGACCTGTTACATCTGTGCTTGCTGATGTCGGCAGTTTACTCTGTTCGTAGTTCATTAGTTCTCGTGCCTTTCATCCTCAACTCCCCCTTACTGTCTTCAAGGGATGATGCGCCTAAACAACTAAATACAGTAGGTTTTGCTAGTACGCATTTCTAAGGTTGATGGGGGGGAGTGGGGTTACGATGAGGATTTCTAATCACGCTTGTTTTCTGCAACATGCAAACCCCATGGCCATGTTTTCCCGCAGCCGTTTTTTGGTTTTTCAGGTGTCATACCGACTGCAAAAGAGTTCCAAAAAGGTCTCATTCCCCGTCCGGTTGGATCTCAGTCCTTACTGTTCTCGCCTCTCATGGGTAAGGTCTTTTCTATAACCCTTCTATTACTGATGAAATTAGTTCTGGTAGTTAAATGACCATGTCCTCCCTCCTTTGAGTCAGAATCTTCATAACGGACACGCCATCTACCGTCTTTTTGGCGTTGTGGAACACTGTGGAAGCATGCGCGGCGGTCACTATGTCTCCTACATTGCTGTGGACTCCCCACCCATGGACTCCTCCTCTGGCACGACGGAAGTCCTCCATCCCCGACCCGACTTCCTTTCGCCGCTGGAGAAGCCGGCCACGTGGCCGTTAAATAACCAACACCTGGTGGGCCAACTGCGTCGTTGCGACCGCAGCTGCTTACTGGACAAGGACACAGCGCAGAACATTGCCTCCTGCGACGATGATGGTTTTTACTCCATGCAAGATTCTAGCCCAAAGTCAGCTGCCTCTTCAAAGTCTTTTGTCGACGCGGCCGGCGCTCGTGTTGACGATCTGGTCACCTCCTCCTCCTCTGCCAGCTCCGGATCGGACTCCGATCACAATCCTGCCGGTTGCCAGTGGTACCACTGCAGTGACACTCATGTCGCTCCCGTTTCCCTCTCCACTGTCCTATCATGTCAGCCATACATTCTCTTCTATGAGCGAATCTAATAATTACTTTGAAGCGCAGTACTTGCTTCTCCTTTTGTTGTGTCGCCGCTGGAACAGAGCGTTTTTCGTGCTGATGGCCTGTATATTATTCCCTATATCTACTTGTCTTATATTTTGCTAGGATGTTTCCTTCTTTGGCCCTTCCTTGTCATAGGCGGTATTGTGCTTGTTCCCCCCCCCTTTCCTTGCTCAATGCGAGAGCTGCATCAATGCATGACATTTATTAGTCCCACTGCGCCCAGCCTTCGTGCGTTCCTTATTATTGCTGTGCCTTCTTCGTCAGTCTACTGGGGCACGGGGGGAGAATGACGAATCAGCCCACTTCTCGCTGTGATAAATATGACATACCGGAATCTATCAAGTCGCGCCGACAGTCCTGGTCTGCCATCTGATAGGGTGACTCGACCCCACTCGGTACCGGGGGGAGGGAGGTAAACTGCGGTGGTTCTTTTTACGCAGTCGTTATATTGTTCTTCCTTGCGTGAACGGTGCTGAGCACACGTAGACGGGCTCGCTATATCTGCTAGTCGCTGAACTTACACCTATCTTCGGCCGTAAGGAAGATGCGGCGCAAGTCTTCTGCATAAACGAATTCTGTCGGGCGA